CAAAGATTTTGAAAGCTATTATCTTTTTTACTTACTCAACCCACCAGTTCTTAACAAATGCTCATGGAAACTTTAGGAGACACAAAATTAGCCATCCTTTTAAGCCATCTTTTAGCTGACAAATTGCAACACAGATGCCATGAGCTTATTTGACCTTTAGTAAACCCTTGGTAAGTTTACTAAAAGTTACAGTACAAAAGCTTGATAGTCAATGCTGATAACTCTAAAGACAATTCTATTTTAATTAAAACAACCTCGAATTAGCTTTAATACCAAATATGTTGTACCTGTGTCCACTAAAAAGCCAATCTGTTTGTTTCTCACTGTCAAGTCTACCTGGGGCTCCTTTGGGGATATCTGAAGTGGGTCGTTTAAGTTCAGGGGGGCACTTGGGCCTGATCATTCTGGTTTGGAAGGTGCTTCAGTTTGAATCTCATCAGGAAGTGGCCCAACAGCTTAGGGTGCTTTTTGCTCCTTGATAGTCAGGGGAGAAGAAGCAGATGATGGCGTACTGGCGCTGAGAACCATACAGGGGTGGGATGTACGAGAAGCCCAAGTTTCTTGCAGGAACAGCAGAAAGTGAGGGGGAGTGAGGAAGAGCAAAGGAAGGTGCTGCCAGCAAGGCTGGAGGCAGATTCAAAGTTGGGATTAACAGTTCTTTCTCTCCATCTCCATCTCCCTCCTGCAAAACAAGCTTTTTCCCTGGTTGCTTTTCAGCCCTCTTCACCATTTATTCAGAATGCGTCCTAATAGACTTTCTTTGGAAACAAGCGTACCCCCCATCTTTCTAGGCAGAAGTTTGGAAAGAACACAGAAGAAATAAAAGTATGACTAAATGAAAGCCTAAAGTACCTCTGTTAGCATGCCTTCTTCCGCGAAGGCCACCGAATGGCTTCCTGGTTTCTGGTTCCTCCTCAGAAGTCAGAGCTTCACCAGCTGAACCAAATGGCTTCCTAGATGAGCTGAGAGAGTCAAACCCAAACCCGCTATTTGGAGGCAGCTAAATGGGAGGAAGGAATCCAAGAAAGCCATTCAGTGACCATCTTTTCTCTGAGCTTGACATATACTTAGGCCAGGTGGTGTTAAATAAAGTCACTTTCTTCTTAGTCATAGGTTTATAACTAAAAGTAGTCTGGTCAGCCAATATTCTCCCTAGGGGGCTTTGGGAGGGGATAGGTGAGTATTCTCCATCATGTACACACACACACACACACACACACACACACACACACACAGTCACTCACTCACTCACTCACATACTCACACACACAAATTCCAACAGAGATCTCCCCAAATGTGTACCTGGCTTCCCATTTGCTTCACACCTATTTCTCTTTCCATCAGTACCATCACAAATTACCACGGCTCCTGCTACAACTCAAGCTATGCAGGCCTGAACAACTGGGTTACGAAACCTGACAAATAGCTTAAAAAACCCAACAGCAGGGAACCATGCAAGGACTGACAGGGTCCGGTATGCATTTACCAGGGAAACTCACCAGAGCAAATTTCTAGGGCCTTCTACATCTTCTAATTTACTAAAATCCTTCTAGGTTTGTATAAGGAAAATGTGAGATAAAGGTGGGTGGGGACAAGTAGGCAGGCTGTAACAAAAAGGTTGATCAAGGTCAATCACAAGGGATCGTGCTGCCTCAGGGCAGCCCTTAGTCCTTGAGGACTAGTTTCTGTTCCCATGAGGTACGCTTTGCCTTCAGGGTCTTTTGCCTGAGTTAAGAGATTAGTTGGAAAGAACTTAATCAATTAGAACAATTTGTTGGCTGATAAATCCAGCTTTTATTAGATCTCCACGCTCCTATTTTCTTGGAGAGAGCAATGAAACAATGCCCTGTGAAATATGAAATCACAACTCCAATCCAAATTTCTAGTTCATATCAGGAAACTAGATTTAAAAACTAGATAAAAAGCGGGTAAAATATTGAATACAACTCTATAACTTGATTTTTTTAAATGTTTATTATTCATGAGAGAGAGCGAGAGAGTGAGTGAGCACAAGAAGGGGGGAGGGCAGAGAGAGAGGGAGAGAGAGAATCCCAAGTTGGCTCCACACTGCCAGTTCAGAGCCTGACACGGAGCTTGAACTCAGGAGTCATGAGATCATGACCTGAGCCGAAATCAAGAGTCAGACGCTTAACTGACTGAGCCATGCAGGTGCCCCTGCAACTTGATTTTTAACAAAACTTTATTCCTTCTGTTCAAGTTATTTTTCTTTATTTTTTACCAATATTTCCTATTGACAAATAATATATAACATACATGCAGAAAAGTGCAAAACTCCCAAGTATATGAATTGTTGCATTAATACAAAATGAACACACTTGTACAAACACTACTCAGGATAAAAACAGTCAGGTTACAACTGACAGCCTGAGGTACTTTATCTGCTTTTTACTGTGCCGAATTCAATGTTATCCCTTAGCTGCATAAAACTGCTGTAACATTTGCTCAGTTTCTTCATTAATAGGCTGCTGTCTAGGAGTTGGCGTGTACCTTCAGGAAAAGCGGCACTAGATGCTGGCTCACCTCTCTGCACACTCCTTCTTTCCAGTATGTTGGCCGAGGGGCCAGGGGCTGCTCTCTGATACCTTCCAACAAATATTTCAAAAGGACTATCCTGTTTTGTAGTTGTTTTTCATGGGAAGATTGGTCTGCACAATGCTATTCCAGAGAAATGGAAAAATGTCCGCTATTTCCTTATTCTTCAGGTTGAAAATGGCGTCCTTGATTTTTCATAGTATTATTGCAGGATTTTTTTTTACCTCAACGCCCAGGGTTCATTGTGTCACTACTTCGAAGAATGAAGAGGTGGGCACAGAATAAAATGTGCAGGCAAAAGTTTACTAGAGTATAAGGTCAGAAAGTAACAATAGTATGAAAGCTCTTTTTACAGAGAGGGGCTATTTGAAAGTGAATGCTGGCGACTATAGGCAAGGAACTCTGTTTTATAGGGTCTGGGCAGGCCTTTTCCTCTCAGCCTATTTTATCCTATCTTTCCCTATCATAGTATCAGAAACATGTGGAGAAGAAAAATAGAAATGAAGGAAAGAAGGAATGTTTATTAAATCTCTATCATGTTATGAGTGGTGTGCAAACAATATTTCACATTTCAAATAAATATTTTCTTCACATCTTATTATGAATTTATATCTGAAATTATAGATAACTGAACTGTACTTCTGTGTATTCATGAGATTTTTACCTGCAGAGTGGGCCCAAGAATCCTTGGCTTATTTCCATAACAATAAAAGAGGATGCTTAAATGTAAGGAAACATAAAGATCCTTGGTTCTTATCAGAACCCATCCCTTTACACAGGAAAGTCTAGTTTTGTGCTATCTGAGAAATTTTAGTAGATACAATTTTTCCAAAAGTCACAATAACCATATTGTGAACCATCAGGGATGGCTGCTTTGGTCTCTTTCTGTACGATGATATTAAATGTGAATACCAAAGAAAACAATGGTTCACTTCACCTCCACTATATTAAACAGAATTAACCTTAACATTATAAAGTAAGTCATGTAGTAGTCACCCCGGCTTTTATATGTATGATTCCTTCTCTGCACTTTTCTTGCCTGAAATTTAAAGTTTCCTGTGTAAATAATATTTTTCTGTATTTCAATTAGTGGATACTTCTTCATGTTTCCATAATTTTATAAGAGTCAAGAGTTTGGTGTTTATATTATAGAACTTGGGTGTTTGGTTTAATGTTATGAGGTTTTTTTTGTGGGTTCATTTTACAATCTCTTACTTTCAAAACCAGCAAGTCAAGACTGTCTGAAGCAATGTGAGATGATTTTCATTTCTTTCACCAGGTTGTTGAAATGTGGCCTGGGTCGAGGTGTTGAAGATAAGTGTTCCTAAGACAACCTCAGAGACTGCATTCTTCACTGGGTAAAAGTCATCCTATCAAGAAAAAAGAATTTACTGGATATTTTCTTGAAAGTATTGATTGACTAAGTCCTTCCAGCTTCTCGGCAATGTTAATTTCACATCAAACACTATTGGTAACAAAATAGACAAAAAAGGAATTCAGCTTTTATTCTCGGAGAGTATGCTTTCAGAGGTTTAATACAAAACCACCAATGGAGGGGCTGTAGTGCCAGTATCCTGTGCTAAACCTGCAGCCACAGGAAGGCTGTCCACATTGGCAATCAGGCAAAGGAGGTGATGTGGGCCATATGGGAAATGACTGCCTCAGGAAAACTCACTTCATTGTGCATATCTCATCTGTGAGTGACACATGGCATTGGGGCCTCTGCTTTTTGGTTATCCTACAGACACGCTTAGGAAATGGAAGCTAAGGAGAGGCTAGAATTAACTGAATGGTTCTCTAGACTTTTCTAGATGTCCTATCCATCAGGAGTAGGCAAAGCTAAACCAAACCATGCAAGCTCTTATACTGTGACTCTTTGGGATAAAAGAACAAATTTAAGGGATGAAACTGTAGTGATTCATCTGAGAGACCTACGGAAAAGTTTTTTCTAGAAATAGGGGAGAAGGAAGAATGTCTGGTGTGGTAGAGGAGTGGAAGAAGACAAGGGAGACTCTAGCAAGCTCAGAACAGTCTTTCTTCTCTGTGAAAAGTAAGACACAGGCATTCTGTGACTTTTGTCATCTCTTGCTGGGTCATAAACACAGATGGTTGGAAATATCAGCCCCTTAACCAGGACCTAGAATGGAATTGTTGAACTGTTGGTCTCTGTTCCTGGTAGTGTTTGGGAATGAACTTTGTAGCAGAAAGAGTCTAGAAAAATGTGGAACAGTAATTATAGGGAAATATTGATTAAATATCATTTGTGTGGCCTCTGTTTGGCCTAAAGCTCATCTCAGGATGCTGGCACATCTGGTGGATATAGCATACCATCTTCAAGAAGGACTGATTTGTGTATGTTGAACCATCCTTGCATTCCACGGATAAATCCCACATGATCATCGGGAATGATCCTTTTAATGTGCTGCTGAAATTGATTTGCTAGTCTTTCACTGAGAATTGTTGCATCTGTATTCATCAGGGATATTGGCCGGTAGCTTTTTTTCCTCAGGACGGATTGAGAAATCTCCTGAAAAAGAGTTTATTTTAGAGGAAGCTATAAGCACATATTCTTTGTCTGAAAAGAAGGCCTCAGTTGGTAGGAGGGTATACAGTGTCACCTTGAGAGTCCTCCAGCACAAACTCATCTGCCAGCCATAGTCACTATAAGCTGTTTGCCTCAGACTTTATTTCCACCCTCATTGCTTATGCTCTGTCTACAAAACTGCATGATGCCTCATTACTACCACTGCTTCCTATGCTTGCCTTGTAATAGTAGTGTCAAAGTTATGGGCATTATTATCTGATGTTCCCAAAGTTATCAGCCCTCAAGGTGCATGAGGTTCTTGTTTCATTTTCTCTCGTGGGTTTTGTACTCTATTCCTAAAGAACCTAACAAAGCCTATACCCTGAATGTCATAGAGTCATTCCATAGAGCCCCAACAACATCTCCTTCTCTCTATTTCCCCTTCCTGCACTCTGTGTCTTTTTTAAAATCTTCATCTTCTGCTTCTATCCAAAGGCAATGTCCTTATGCAAACCAGCTTATGGGAATTTTCTTGTTTCAAATAGCTGACCACATCTCCAGTTTGCTTTATGTAACTAAGGATAATCCTGAAGGTCAACAGTGCTGTGTTACTCACAGGGATCACTGTCCAATTTCAAACTGAGGTACTGGTGACACTAGCCTTTGTTAGCAGAGTAATCTCTAAATTTCTTAACTAGATTCCTATTGAACTCAATATAATAGCATGTTATAAATGCATCTATTACCCCTAAACCTATAGGATTTGTATTCAGATACATGGCTATTCCTAATTCTGCTTCATTTTGAAAGAGTTCAATGTACCCATTCAGGATAAAGGTTAGCATTTTGCCATGGCTAAATTCTACCCCAAAATTATGTAAAGCTAGAATGTTTTTTGATACCTGGTTTATCGTAGTGGTGACAGAATGGGAATACATTGTTTTCTAATTTTATGATGAAACAGTATTAAATTCTCTTATCTAAAATAATGGTTTCTGAGATGACAGTGAAGAAGAAGGAGAAGAAAGAGAGAAAGGAGGGGGAGAAAAAAAAAAGAAGAAGCATTTTCATCAGAAATAGATGGATTAAAGGTTAAAATAGTTGTTTAAGGAAAAAGAGCATAGTTCAGTAGCAAACAAAAACACCATGATCCTGGAAAGGTGAGGGGGGGGCCACACATATATTTCAGGTGCTCTAAAAAGTAGCTTAAACACCTTAATTAATAGTCTGGGTCTTAGGTTCCTGAGATGTTAAGTAGGGATAAACATCTAAAGACACTTTGTGATTATCACACTGAGGTGATATCTCTGACTCTTCATAGGACAAATGAAGAGCAGTTACAAGTTTCCTGAATCTTGGAAGTTATGAATTGGAATTGTAGGACAACTACTTAAAAACATCTGATACTACTATAGTCCTCTTTATTGATCTTGCAAAGTTTACATTTTAGCAAACTTTAACAGCATGCATTTTTCTAGAACAATTTTTAATTTTGTAAATGTTTTATTTACTTTTGAGGCAGAGAGAGACTGCATGAGTGGAGGAGGGGCAGAGAGAGGGGGGTACACAGACTCTGAAGGAGGATTCAGGCTCTGAGCTGTCAGCACAGAGCCTGGCACGGGGCTCAAACCCATGAACTGTGAGATCATGACCTGAGTCGAAGTTGGACGCTCAACTGACTGAGCCACACAGGTGCCCCTCTAGAACCATTTTTAGAAGCTGCTTTATAATTTTGGGGTTTTTTTTGTTGTTGTTGTTGTTGTTTGGGTATCATAAGATAGAAAAGGCTTGGTCTATGTCAAAAGCCAAGATGCTTCTATTACTTTAGTTTTGTCAGTGTTGTTAAGAAAGTGGGATTTGGGGGATGCCTGGGTGACTCAGTCAGTTAAGCATCTGACTCTTGATTTCAGCTCAGTTCATGATCTCACAGTTTGTGAGTTCTAGCCCCGGGGTCAGGCTCTGTGCTGACAGTGTGGAGCCTGCTTGGGATTCTCTCTTCTTTTCTCACTGCCCCTACTGTGCTCTCTCTTTCTCTCTCTCAAAATAAATAAGTAAACTTGAAGAAAAAAATGTTAAAAAAAAAAAAAAAGAAAGTGGGATTTTTCAATCTGAAAAGGTGGAGCCGGAGCTATAGTTGATTGAGGGTCTGGAACACAGAGAATGAAGTGCTTCCAGACAGCCAGGGGGTGGGGTAAGCGAGAGCATGTCTTCATTTGATGGTTGCCTTTCGAGGAGGTGAAGGTGTTCACAAAGGCCAACTCTATTTTCCAGTCTTATTGTCCCTGGATGTGCTCCTGTGGTAGCTATGATTTCAAAGTAGGTGGCTTTCCTTACTTAGCTTTCTCTCCTCGCCATCCCCATTCTGGTATCTTGTATCTTTCCCAAGGTCATGTAACAAATCACTTTCCCAATCAGGAGCAGCACTGAGACATAAATCAATGTAATTCATGCATGTTTCTTTCTTTCTCAAAGACTTGTCTAAATGAAACATTACAATATATTTTAGTTACACAAACTACATGCTGGCTTTTAAAAACTTACTATGTGTACTTTTTAACCTTCAAAGAACTTTATAGATATTAAGGTCATTAATCTTTTTAACACTCTTAGAGGTAGCATAATTCAGTCTTTGAGTTGAACTTGTTCAAAAGATTAACACAGAGGGTGATGAAGGATTTGGCTACTTGATGCAATTTTCTGCTACAATATCAGATCTTGATGATAGGATTACTTTGGTCACTTCTGACAGTTTGAAAATTCCACTACAATATCAGGTCTTGGTGATAGTATTACTTTGGTCACTTCTGACAGTTGAAAATAATTATCTTTGTTCCTTTCTTCATTAAACAGGAAGCTATTACCTCTTCAGTGAGGACTCACTTCAGACTTCACAAAAATAAAAATTATAAATAAACATTAATAATCAGATTAGAATTTCAAATGGTGAAAGTAATATGTGATGATTTCCTCTGAAACCCATAAGCCAACTAAAGCAATTCTGAGCTTACTGAGCCCCCTTCTCTCCTGCTTTTTGTTTGTTTTCATTGCTTGCATCTCTCCTTTTTGGATTTCTCTCTTTCTACATATTTCTCTGAATGGAGGAGATCTTTCTTCACCTCTGGATCTCTTCCTGGGTGCTACTCTCTTAATGAATCTGGCTTCTCCTTCTTAGTCTTCTGGCTCTCTTCCCTTTCTCTCTCTAGCTTTTCCGTTTCACTCTACCAATTATTCCACGGCACGTACACCTCCTTAGCTTGTCTTTTGGCCACATGGAAGCAATCTATTTCCTGGCCCAGACCCTGGGATCAATTCTTCTATCCTTGTTTTCACTTTTTGTTACTGTAACAACAACAACAAAGGCTACAGTTATTCATTAACATGTATTGAGACAAGTGAGGTGCCAGATGAGTAGATTGCTTCCCATCGTGAAGATGTCATCAAAAAGGCAACAACACAGGCAAGAGACAATGACCTGTACTTGTGCTGAGTCTCCAAGTAGGGAAAAAACTAAAATAAATTGCCAGTTGTGGTTTGGAATAAAATGCCTTGTCATCAGCCTTTGCTCCGTTACTGATAAAGTGAAACATCAGATCCCACTGTAAGAAGCAGAGAACAAAGATGGAGACATTGATTGAACTGATAGCAGTGAAACTACGTAGTAGGTATCGACCCAGCATTGCTCTCAAACAATAGGGAAGATTGAGATGAATTTTCTTTGCACAGTAGTCAATCACTCAGGTGGCTGAAGCACATACAGAATTTAATCTCTGATTGCTGCACAAAAATGTCTAGGAAGAGGCTATCTGTGGAAGACATTTTTCTCATCTGTTCAAGGTTGCAGAGGGAGTTCTGTGGCTTGTGAAGCACACAGACGTGTAAAAGAGTATACAGTAGAGGATAATGTAAGAGAGTGTGCTGTGTATTTTGCAAAAGCCACTTCCTAAGGAAGAATCAAGACCCTAGAGCTGAGAGAGGAATTAATGTTTGAAAATACTCACTGAAACACCTTAAGTGTTTGCAAATCCCACGTGGATTAGGCGTCTAATGATTACATAGCTGGAAAATGTAGAGTTGCTCCCATCCTCTGCTGAGATGGGAGAAATATGAGCTGCTAGAATGGAATTGCAGTTGGGAGCGAAGGAGTTCTTGAACACTTGAGGAGCTATGGCGCATTGTTCAATGGCTATGTGCTGGTCACAGTGAAATCAGGAATCCCCACCTACTCTGCCTGGGGAGACACTGCAGGTGGGGAGGAAATACTGCTTTGGTTTTCTGTAATTCATCAAAAATCTTATTTGGGGGCTTCTGTGCCTCCAGAAAGGCAGAGAATGTTACCCCTAGTCTTTTGAAGAGTTCTTCTATCTCTGTGGAATTTGTGTCATAGTTATAAAAACTTACTAAGATTTCAGGGCATGGCCTCTGGTCATGGAGTCACTTACCCAGACGGTGAGCAGAAAGACACCCATCCTGTCCTCCAGCACAGGCCTCGATGTCCTCTGGCTCCTTGGTACACCCCTCCCGCTGCCTCAGTTCTCAAGGTGCATGCTGAGCCATTTCTTCTCTGTGATTTTGCTGTGTCTGCACTGCCCAGCAAGCAAGAAGCGGGTCCCGCTTCCCACTTCCTGCATTCCCAGAGAACCTTCCTGCTGGGGCTATTTGTTCTCCCCGTCTTGTTTCTTAAAAATATTTTGTTAAAATCATGTAGATTTCCTTCTCTGGAGTTTGTGTGCTTGGAATCCAAAGGCTGGAGAAACTTAGAATAAATTTTGCTTTTTTGTTGTTAGGTTACTCCCCCAGGCAAGAAATGCACAGCTGTGTATTTGTTTGAATGGAAGGGAGAGAAAAAATATATAGGTCGAATCTCAAAAATAATATTATCTGGTCATAGTTTATAAATATAAATATATATATAAAATCTTTCAGAATTGAAAAGCTCTGTCTGGAACTGTGGCCATCTATGTAGAACAGATATGTGTCATGCCAGTGGCAGAGGACACAGGGTA